GACCCTAGATTCATGATGGCAGCCTAACCTTGGTGATCCTTGGGCGGGTTTGACCTCTCTGGTATTTCCGGCAAGGAAACAGACAACTACTATCTTTATCAGAAGGGAGTGGGCCATACTTTTTGTGGGATAGACAGTGGTGTCTGCTTGGTCTAGATGGCTGATAGCTTTTAGGGAGAATGACCCCTGATCTACTTCTGATGACCTCCAAGTGTACAGTCATTCACAAGCAGCTAAGTTTGGCATATATTTGGGGGAGACAACTTGGGAGAAACCCTTCTGTTTCCCACAAAAAGTTATCAAGCATTTTTATTATTTTAGTCTATATTATATACATATTGTAAAAGGCCACAGCAGTTTAACATATAAACCCTTTCAAAGTAGAGGGCATTATGAAGGACAGACAAGTATCAAAGTGAAGTCCAGTAACAAGGGCATATACTCAGTGCAGTATTTCTCAGGAGTAACACAGCAGATACCAAGTAATTTACATTTACCTTGCAAATATTCCATAGGTTGCTTGTTTTGTTTTAAATTATTTTATTGGGGGCTCATACAACTCTCATAATAATCCGTACATACATCAATTATATAAAGCACATTTGTTACTCTCATCATTCTCAAAACATTTGCTCTCCACGTAAGCCCCTGGCATCAGCTCCTCATTTTCCCCTTCCCTCCCCGCTCCAATAGGTCTTTATAGACCACTTTGGGATTTGTTAATAGCCTAAATGTGCCAAGTTGTTAGGGTTTCTGGTTTCTTTGTTTTTTTAAGTGCAACTAGAACAAAAGAAAATGAACTTTAGAGGATGCTTTCCTAATTCTAGTCTTTAATAGCTTCCCAAGAAGACAAGTCTGACCTCTTTATCACTTAACACCTCTACCCACTATTAAAGATAGGAAAGGAGCTAATAGTGTAAACTCAAAATTCTAAAATTTTGGAGCTTCTCTGTGAGGGTTCTGGCCAAGTATATCTCAAGTCTTTTCCACCATAATATGGCACCCTCCTGACATCTATCTCAGAAACACCGGTTTCTGCTTTGTAGAAATATCTCAAAACCTATAAAGTGGTATCAGCAGATCAATATGAAAAAGACAGTCCCAAGCTGCACTGGTACATTCCCCTATGAAGAACATCAAAATAGACTTATCATTGAGACCATCTAGTCCTTGCATTAGTGTTCAGTCCACTGTGAACAATGTGCCGCGTGTCAACACGTCTAAATAATTATAGATAACATACATCAATCATACATTTCTGTAAAAGATAATAAAACATCTTCTTTAAAAAACAAATCAGGAGGGAGGGGGAGGGGGAAAGGAAAATGAGGCGCTAATTCCAGGAACCCAAGCAGAAAGCGAATTTTGAGAATGAAGGCAACAAATGTATAAGTGTGCTTTACACAATGGATGTATGTATGTATTGTGATGAGCTGTTTGAGTCCCAATAAAATGATTTAAAAAAAGAACAACAATAAAGCTATGACTGCATGTTTCCAATTTTATGAAAATGGAACAACCAGTCCTGAGTTCATTGTAACAAAAATGGCCCGAGTGCCTGGTTCAAGTCAGCAGTAAGTCCATTCTTGCTTCGATAGATGTCCACGAGTACTGTAGGCAAGAATTTGTCTCGGGTGCTATCCTGTCCATTCATAAAGTTACATACCAGACACTGACCAGTGCCACAGCACTGTGCTGCAGTCAGTTTTGAATCAGGAGTAGGATCTGAGAAAGCAATTTCTTCTTTACTCAAATATGAGCCATCTATAAAGTGACTCCTTAAACATTCAATCGTGCGAGAAGCGATTTTCTTCCAGCGCCTCCTGCTGAATCCCCATGTCCGACTGATACCATAGGTAGCGGCTCTGGCAATGTTGAGCACCACGCCTTTTGCCATTCAAATGGAGCGTGTTCCAGTAACTGGAGGTGTCTCTTCTATAACCCTATAGCCCCACTGGAAATGTTCTGCAATTAAGCCACCAACTTTTCTTGTCATTAGAAATTAAGAGACGTGTTTTAGTTCTGGAACAGCGCGTCAGTGGAGCCTGTTGGAAACCTAAATCCTTATCAACCATCTCTCTAATTTCGTCAACCTTTTTCCGGGCATACTTTGGGTCTTCAGGAAGAACCATTATAATCCTTCCAGCAGGGTGCTCAGCCAGAATCCTTTCTTTTTTCCAGCCCACGTTTTTTACAGCACTCATAAACTGGTTGTGGAAGAGCAAATGCTGTGTTTCATCCTCTGGATTTGAAGCTGTGGAAAGCATGCCACAAATATTACAGGAAATGGCTCCAAATCGTTTTTTGCCCTGCATCTATGATCAACTGTTTTTCATCAGCATTCTCTACTTCTTTTAGTTTTAAATCTGCCTGACATCTTCTTACTGTGCTATCTGAACCTCTCCCATCCTTCCCTGTCCCAGTGGTGTTGATTCTGCTCTTGCAGCACCTATGGTATGCCAGGATTGT